CTCTATTGTTATAGTTATTAAATAAACTGTTAATTTACTGATACTCTTCTAAATCTAAATATCAAATTAAATCTTCTACTTACCACCCATAAATATTGCTTTGTTTATCACTCATAAGCATCTTAAAGAACTGACTATAATAATAATGTGAACATTACAAATAATAAAATAATTTTTATATAGTTTTTTGTAATAGATTAATTAGTATATAAATTTTATTATAAATATTTTAAAAATAAAGTAATTTTAAAATAAATAAACCTTTAAAAAATTTTATTATTAAATTTGTAATTCTTATTTTAAGAGATTTATCTTATTTATTGATGATAAATTAAATAAATTTTAAGCTCTTACTATAGATGCCTACCAAAACCTCCTCAAAATAATTTTGTTATATCCTTTTCTATGTTTTTAATATAGTTTTAACAGTTTTGGGAAGAAAACTAACAAAAAAAAGTTTATTTAATTTATAAATTAAATAATATTTTTTTTAGAAAAAATAAATTCAAAATTAACATTAATTTAAAAAATTTTTTTGATAATTTCTTTTCTTTTTACTGCAAAATGCTCTTATAATTAAAATTATATAATATATAGAAACTAATAATAAATTAATATAATAACTTAATTTTAAAATTATATAAAATAATAAATTATTAAAAATATAATAATAATAATATAAAATTCTAGTTTAAATAAAATATTTATAAATATTAATAAAGTTTATAATATATTTAAGTAAAAATTAAAGAAAAATAAATAGTTTAATAATAAAATTTTATATTAAAAACAATTAAATTTGATTAAATTTATAAGCAAATTTGCTTGTAATTTTCTATTACTATAGAATTAATTTTTTATTATAAATTTATTATTTTAAATATATATAATTATAATATTAATATATATAAAAATATTTAATCTTAATTATATTAATTATTTAAATATTAGTAATTATTTAATTATAAAAAACTAAATAATATACATAAATAATAAATTAATCAAATTATTATTATATTTTTTATTTAATATATAAAGTTATTTTAATAATAAAAATAATAACAATAATAAATTTTATTATTTTTTATTATTAAAATATTTTTTATTAAAAAATTTAAAATATTAAATCTAAATTAATACAAAAAATAACTATTTTTTTTTTAAATTTTATTTAAATATATTTATATATATATAAAAATATTAAAATAGTTATAAAAATTATATATAAATTATTTTAAAAAAATATATCTTTAATATAATAAAAAATATAATTAATATATAGGCATTTTACAATATAAAGAAAAGAAACTACTAAAAAAAATCTTTTACTTTATACTTTAAATATTATTTTTTTAGTAAAATAAATTTATTTAATATTAACTTAAAATTTTTTTGGTAGTTTTTTCCAAGTACTTATATTTATATAATAACTTTATAATTATATAACTATTTTATTTTGATAGTTATATATTTTATTTTATAAATAACTATTATTTTATATTTTATGTAAATGTTTATTGCTTAAAAATATATTATTAATTAATTTATTAATAAATTTATAAAATTTAGCAATAAAAAAAAATAATAGATATATTTTTTTAAAAAAGATGCTTTAATTATATTCTTTTATAAATTTTTTAAAACCATTTATAAATTATATAAAATTATATTAGATAATAGAATCTATTATTTTATTAAATTTAAAGTTATATAAATTTTTAATTGTAGATTTATATAAATTTATATAAGCTTAAATAATATCCATTTTATATAAGCTTATATAATATTATAGAAGAAGAACGCTTTATTATTTTAAAAGAATAAACTTAATTCAAAAAAAAAAATTGAAATTATTGATTTAAATTAAATTGAATTTAATTTGTATTGAATTATAAAATTAAATTATATTGAAAATTTTTCAAAAGCAATTATAGTTGATAAAACTTGAATATTTTATTAAATAGTTTAAGGAAAAATCAAATCTTTTAAAATAAAAATTTAAATCAAAAACTAAATGAAGTACTTTACTTAATATAGTTCGATATCAATGCAAAATTATTGGATGCGGGAAATAATTAAAAGGGGCGGAACCCAATTAGGAATTTGGCTCAAATTGTGTGACAAAAATAAAATTTATAAAATCAATCGGAACTTCGCGGCCATTGATCGGGAGATCACATGATATATCTCAAAGCAAAGACCCATATCTGGGAACATACCACCGTGATCTAACTAAACTTTATTCTATTCTCGCGTCGCGTTTTGTTATGACAGAAAAAAAAATTTTTCGTTAAAAAGGGATCTTTTTGATTGAAATCATTTTTTCAACATTTTTCACTCACTCACACACACAACACACACACACACACACAAAAAAAACACCTAATTACACCTATAATGAATTCTCTTGAGCAATTCCACCACGCCTTATATACCTTCGAAAAGGCCAAGAAAGAGAAGGAAATAACTGGCAGTTCGGAAGAGGTTGAGTCGCCAATACTCAACATGGATTTTGATTTTCCGGACGTGCCCCCACCCATAAATACGCGTAAAGAAAACGAGAAGGAAAAGGACAAAAAGAAGCTAAAGAATAAGGAACCTATTCGGAAAATCAAGAATCCGAAGCAAGTAAAGCCGATTCGGACCGAGGGTTCCAAGAGAATGAAGAACAATTTACGTATCGATATGGTGGGATATGATCAAAAGCCCATTTGTTCTACTCGTTCTCTTCTTAACAAGAGAAGAAAAATGGAGAAATGATTTGGTGGGTTTTAAATTATTGCTTGAAATTATTATATTATTAATATGAATGCTTGTCTAACATTGTAGTAACATTTCTCTTTTTATAGCCTCCAAAAATTCTTTTTTTTTTGTTCAAAAAAATTTCTCGTTAAATAAAATACGTGTTATTTTACCTGGCCTGGTGGTTTATAGAAAAATCAATATTTTTTAAATGATGTTTTGAACCTTTTATTAAATTAAATTACTTTTCAGATAATTTGCATAAACTGGCCCTTAAGATGTATTAAATGCTTTCTATAGATACTTTTGTTGCAATTTTATCATTCATATTTAATTCTTATTCCATATTGTCATTTTACGGTAATCACTATCTGTATTTCCTCTAAGTTATCGTTTGCATTGTTTAGTAGTTTAACGACGACGATTGAATACATTGTTCATTAAATAACAAATTTTCATCAAGATTCTTTTTTGTGACAGCCTTGACAATAAATAAAAATTCCAATAAAAATGTATCATAAAGGAGTAGAATAAAAAAAAATAAAACAAACTACATTCTATAAAATATACTAGAAAATGGACTACTACTATATATTACATAATAATTTTCGGGACCACTTTCCTGGTCAAATGCAAAGATTAAGTAATGCGGTCCAAAAAATCGTTTTGTATTTTAAATATTATATAAACTTTTCAGCTTATACACTTTATTAAAACAACTCCCGTTTTCTTCATTGTTTCAAATAGCATGACAACCTTGACGAAGCGAAAAAGGTGAAACGAGATCACTGATCTTGTCTTTATTATTAGTATAATGAAACTAGTGTTCGGCCACCATTTTTCCCAGTTCGGTACGACACGTACTTTGTACAAAGAAAAAATTTGTATGTTACGAAACATTTTACACCACCTTGGAGAGTTATCAAACAGATGCATGAGAAGAGTTTTCTAATTCTTTACTTTTAATGTATCTAATATTTTAAAGAAACATTAGTTATGAGAATATAGTCAACGTATACTTGCTATTTGGAGAAAATATATGAACAGTTGATAATATTTTCTTTTGGATTTTAAAAAGTAGAGCTTTCATTCGAAAAGACATTCGGAAATGGCTTGTTATCCGAATTAAATCATTTTTTTGAAATAATCCGAAGATTGAAATTATAATATTAGTTACTAATAAAGTTACTAATAGTTTAACTATGGGTAATTCATAAAAAAAAAAGAATACAATTTAAGAGAAAAAATAAGTTCTTGCGAAGTCTATTAAAAATAAGTAAGGAATTATTGTTTCTATAGATGAGAGATTGGAATGCTACAATGGGTTATTCAGCATGTCCTAAAACGATATTTTTCGATTATGTAATGATGTTCTTATTTTCGGAGGAATACGGTGGTTTGCATAGATAACTGTTCCAGGGGTTTACCAACCATACACACTTTCTCTTTTCCTTTTTCCTTTACCTCTTTAAACAAAATTGCTTGAGCAGGTATATATAAAAGATATAGAGTTATATAATATTAGTTTTTATTACTTAAACAACTACTTAAAATACTTGAGGTTTACAGGAGATTCTGCAAAAAAAAAAAAACTACTGTACCGCGCTTGTTTTTAACAATATACAACAGCTTACCTAAAGAAAACGCGTTCTTGAAGACTAAATAAAGTTATTCTGTAGGTATGAGACTATTCAAATGTTAAGTTTCAATCAAGTTAGTTCGAATACTTATAAAGTTATACTTATTTTTTGTTATATTTTTGTGCAGATACTTTGTCACTGTCACGTAATTTAAACCCTTTGGTCAAATAAAATTAACTTTTGTTGAATATGAAGGTATGCAAAAGTTAATTTTCTTCATACTTGAAGCAGTATTAATAGAGTTAATTAACACTTTTTATAATGAAATTTACTGTGTATAACTGTATATAGTATATGGGTCTTTATATACATGGTTTAATTAAAATATACATGTTGAGTGTTAAAAGTCTTTTTCTTTATTATTATATGTTTTTACTTTTATTCTTTTTTGCTCTTTAATAGTATTTTTCTTTGCTCATTCTTTTTCGCGAAATGAAAATATTTTCTAAGACAAAGTTACACAAATTTGTATGTTTAAGGAACAGGTACAGGTTAAGGATCCCGAAAACTATACCTTAATACAACCACTTGACGCGTTGCCGATCATCATCCAATCATTCGTCGTCCAAGGTTAGATTATCGATCAAATTGCTCAAGTTGAAATTATATAAATAATAAAACCATTTGAGGTAGTTAGAAATTCAAGTAAAAGAATTCAATTTTCTTTGTTTTTTGGATCATGAAATATTATAAGTAACTTTTAATTTAACGTTATATACAGAAAGTTGATATAAGAAAGTTCATATTGGATAAAGCCAGTTAAATACTTTATGCAATACCGTAAATCGTAGATTATAGTATCTCCCTATGAAGACATTTTAATGGTGTGGTGCATTTTTAATTTAACAATTACCGAATGAGAGTTTTAAATTCAATGATCGCGACTTTATTTTGTCAAATCATAAAAAAATATATTAAAGAGAACTGAAAACCTCTTTTTATTTCTTTTAATAAAAGAACTGAATAATTAATTGTCTTTAAACTTTTGATATTTGAATTTTATCTTTGTAATTTTATGTAAGTATTAAACATAATTTATACATAATTTAATTAAATCTTTACCAAAATTCTTTACTCGTTGAATGGGTATGGAATCTTTAGAACCAGAATTAATTAGTAAGTAAATATGCATCATTAAATGCATCATTAAATGTCCAGAAAAATACACTACAGCAATGTTGTCGTTGGGCGGGACAGGCAACGTCTGACATTAAAAATGCCGTGAAATTACTAATTCAAATTTAATGAATTATAGCTCATTAGAATCGTTTTGATAAGACACGAATGATAATTAGTTTTCATGCCTCTAGCATTAAATTGATAATAATATAATGTTTTTAAATTATTGTATTATTCGTAATCTTGGATAATTCTTGGACGGGACATTGGACGAGACATTGTCTCTAATTAAGGAAGAGTGATACGGAAACCAGGATCGACCATTGTGTAGTATTATGTATGATTTGTGAAACAACTGTTTAATCGTGACATTTCAAATTCAAATATAAGCAAGAAAAAAAATTCTCACGCGTTAAATTTGTTGCAACAACTCGCAGAACTCGTGTTGAACAATTATTTAAAATTATTTAAAATCCTCTATAATAATTTTTTTTGTAACGGATTTTTTTTCTGGAAAAATTTGAAGATCAACGGATTTTACATAACACAAATGGTCGATCCTACGCCACTCATTTCCGTCTTAATTGTTACAATGAAAATGATACCGATATGGTTAACGATCTCACATGTTAAGATTCAAAATTTTTGAAAAAAAAAAATTTCTTCTTTCACTATAATTTGGTTGTCCTCTTCCTCCATTACTAGAAAATTTTATCATGCAAATTATTCTTAATTCCAAATTAAAATTAATTAATGGTATATCAATCTTAACATTTCTGTTTTATATAACTTATATCTCACTAGTATTAGCTTTTTCCGAAGATAATGTTGAATCGAAAATTGATATGTTACATCAAAGAGCAAGTGTAATGGCAGCTTCAAATCAATCATTATTATGGGGAACTTATAGACCAAATTTATATTTCGGTACAAAGCCACGTTTGCCTGAATCTTTATTGACAGGATTAATGTGGTTTGGAATTGAGAATATCTCCGATTTTAAACGTATCCTTTACCATTATATATTTTACTATATTTTATAATACAAAAACTTTTTATTCTTTAACATCTTTTCTTTTTTTTTTTAAAAAAAAAAGATATTAGACATTCTTGTGATCAAAGAGACGAATTAGATGAATATAGTTTTAAAAAACATGATGGTCGTAATTTCGCTATACAAACTATAACTGATAGTAAAAATAACGTTAAATTAAAAACTGAATTATTAAAAATCCCGGGAGGAAATCATGGTATAAAATAAATTTTTTTTTTTTTTTAAAAAAAAAAAAAGGTAAATCATTTATTAATTTAGGTGGTGAGTGGGCGATTCGTATATCCGGAAATCCGATAAATGACAAAGGTAAAAAAAAATTTTTCATCCTAATTGCAAATTGAATCATAATATAATAATTTATTTTTCAATTTCAGTACCTTCTAGAATTTCAATTCTTTATTATTTTGGACTCGAAGGAGATGGTTCAATCGAATTAGTTAATTCATTGAATAAAATGGTTGATATTATACATTTTTTTTTTATAGTTTTTTTTTTTTTAAATAGATTAATTTTGAATTCAACTTTTTTACATACAGGGTTTGGATAGTCCAGTCGAACTTAAAGGAGAAACTCCAGAATTAGGAAAATTCTCAATTAAGATCCTCAATGGTAAAAATTTATATTCAAATTATTCACCTAAGAATATTCTTTTTTAATGTTTTATTGATTTGATTAGAAAGGTTGTACATAATAAGTTTTTTTTGATGTATTATATAGATTTAAATAATAAGGTGCCGACGAATATTCCTCCAGGAGTTCCAGCATCAACTAATCTATCAAAAATTCAATATTGGGGACTTTTAGTTCCTGAAAAGGATGTTTGGCGTGCAAAGGGTAAATAAGGCGATAAGCTATTCTTTTTATTTGATTGATAAATTATTAAATAAAATAATTTTTTAAATGTATAGAACTATTACAAGGTCATCTGTTTATAAAGTACGAAAAAACCAGAGATAAGTCACAAGAAGGTCATATTCCTCCACCACCGTATTTATTTTCATTGGATAATGAAGTTAGAAAGGATTCAAATTTCTTTATTTTTCAAAATATGGTTGAAGGTCCTTTTCAAGTAAGTTGTTTTAATTAATCTTAATTAACAATTGATGGTATTAATCGAAATGAAATTATTTTAGTTTGATATATTCTTCCAATCGGAATCAACGCCTGTTCACCTTGATGGTAAGTCATAAACAAAGATGTATTTTTTATTTTTAAACTCATCTAATTTTTTTTTTAGTTGAAAGTTTTACATCAGGTCTTGAATCTAGCTCTCAGGAATTTGATTTGAGATTTGAGAAAACTTTTGGTTTGAGTGCAAAAGGATTTGGTGATAAACAAATTTATTTCGCACAAACCAGTTTGAGCAATTTGATTGGAGGAATCGGGTATATTTCATCTTTCCATTCAATTTAATTTACCTTTTAAAAGAATTTGTTTTAAAATGTTTTCCTTCTTTTTAGGTACTTCTATGGTTCAAGCATTGTCGATCGATCATTTACAGAAAGTGACGAAGATGATGTAGAATTTTGGTCAAAATATCGACAAGTAGATCCAGAATTAACATTACCCTCAGCTTTATTTACAGCAACTCCATCTCGGCCTTTTTTTCCTCGTGGATTTTATTGGTAAATTTATGTATTTATGATCTAATTTCTAAATGAACCCGTTTAAAGAACTTCTTTTTGTTATTTTAGGGATGAAGGTTTTCATCAATTATTGATTGGTATATGGGACAATGATTTAAGGTTCAAAATATTTCTTAGAAAATCTAATTGTAAAAAGAAAATTTTATTTTTATAATTAAAAATTTCTTTGTTATTAGTCTGGATATTATTAAACATTGGGTTTCTTTAATTGACGATGATGGATGGGTCGCTCGAGAACAGATTTTGGGAGAGGAAGCTCGTAGTAAGGTTTGAATTGAAAAGAATTTTTTTTTTATTTTTTTTTTTTTTTGTGAAAACTTTTAACATTTTCTTTATTAGGTTCCGGTAGAATTTCAAACACAATATCCTTATTATGCGAATCCTCCTACGTTGTTATTTGCAATAAAAGCATTTATTGAAAGAGTTGATGATGTAGAGAACAAACTTAATCTCGGTGCAAACGGTGATATTTAGAAATTTTACATGTATATGTTACGCATTCAATCTTATAAAATTTGTTAAATAATTATTAATATATATATATATATATATTAGATGTAATTGGACAACATATATTCAATGAGCATATAACCAGTACAACAGATCCAGCAATTATTTCATCAAGATATATTTTGGATAAAGAATTAGCAAAAAATTATTTAGAAGAAATTTATCCGAAATTAAAGTTAAATTATAAATGGTTTAGAAGAACTCAATCGGGTGAAATCAAAGAATGGGGAAGAAAAGCAAAAAGTAGAGAAGCTTATAGATGGCGTGGTCGAACTCCTGGGCATACCATAACTTCTGGTGTGTAAATTAGTATAGTTTATAGAAATTGTAAAATTTATTGAGTAATTTTCTTTTTAAACAAAATTAGGACTTGATGATTATCCTAGACCGACACCACCACATCCTGCTGAACTGCATGTTGATCTTATGTGCTGGGTTGGATTTATGGCAAGAACACTTAAGGATATTGCAGAAAGATTGGGAGAAGAAGATGATGCAGAAGATTTTGGAGAAGAATATAAAAATATCGTTGCTAATTTAAATGGTAAATTATTGTTTTCTTAGATGATGTACTTTTTAGAGTATATTTATTTGCAAATGCTTTTATGCTAGATTTACATTGGAGTGAGGAACATGATGCATTTTGTGATTTATCAGTCGATGAAGATGGTAGGTTTTTGACGTTTAATAATTTATTTAATATAATATAATTGATATATAATTCATTCTTTAATTCAGAGGAATCAGTATTTGTTTGTCATAAAGGATATTTGTCGCTATTTCCGATGATGTTAGAATTGTTGCCTAATGATTCACCAAAGTTGGGAGCAATATTAGATATGATTCATAATCCAAAGGAATTATGGTCAAGGTACATTACTTACACTTTGAAGGTCATATTTCGCTTGTTACTTTTAAATAATACTTTTTCTTGTTTCATTATATACGGATTAAGGTCATTGTCAAAATCTAAAAAATTATTTCATACGGGAGAAGATTATTGGAAAGGAAATATATGGATAAATATCAATTATTTAGTATTATCTTCAATATATAAAGTAAGCAATTCGAATATAGAAGTTTAAATAATTATTTCAGACTAAGTATTTATTTTTTTTTAGAATTATGCAATTGTTGAAGGTCCTTATAAAGAAAAGGCAAAGACTATATATGATGAATTGAGAAACAATATCATCAAAAATGTCTACAAGGTAAAAATAAAAATAAAAATAAAAAAAAAATACCGTCTAATTATAATGTTTTATTTAACGAACAACAATAAATTGTAATAGGAATTTGAAAGAACTGGATATGTGTGGGAACAATATTCTGAAAGTACGGGCGTTGGTTTAAGAAGGTAAAAGTTACTTTGTTTTTATTATTATAAAGTGATATTTTAATTAACTTTCCTTTTTATCTATTATAGTCATCCATTTACGGGCTGGAGCTCATTAGTAACATTAATTATGGCCGAAATGTATTGAATTAAAATAATGTACAGATTTAATATTTTTAATATTTTTAGAGATTTGTGTTGGAATATTTTCTTTTTTAGTATTAACGAAATGAATTAAGTTATTTAAAATAATTGCATTACACACTGCTGAAACTGCTGAACAAAATTTGATTAAGTTTAGTTATTAACCGAATTGTTGAGCTACAGTATTTTAAAAGTATTCAAGTCAATATAATTTTTTTTAATACGTGATTCTGAAATTACTTTCATTAAAATTATAAGTAGGTTAATTCCATAAAAATTTTGAAAACCTTGATATCATATTTTTGTTGTGAAACTCTCCAATCATATTTATAATGGAAGTATCTTGAAAAGGATGTTATGAAATTAATAGAGATCAGCTGATTAATAAATTGATTTGATTTTCCGATTATCGTAAGTATTTATTTTATATTTCCTAGGTAGGGTTTTTCTTTTAGAAATAAAATTGTTAAATGGATGCAAGTTCACAGCAACTATATCTGTTTTCTACTCTTAAAATTCTTGTTATGAAACATTGATTATATTAGTAGTTATGGATTAGGGTTAGTTTTTACTTTTTTTAAAAAAATTAGTTATACATCATTATCATTATTCTGCTGTTTAGCTTTTCCTTTAGAATTACTTTGAATATCTGAGAAAATTTAAATTATTATAGTTATTTTTATATTATTAATATTATCAATAAAAAAAAAAAAATACAATCGTTTGTCTACCTTCATTTGAATTTTTTTGTAATTTAAATATTTCTGTTTTTTTTTTTTTTTGGATAATTAATTAATTTGCTTAAAATAAATTATAAATTCTTATAATAAAATGTTTTACCTTTAAACTTGTCACTAACGCTATTCCTAATGCTTGTTATTGATGAATGACTTTTACTACCTGAACCATTAATAAAATCGTTAACTAAAAAAGAAAAAAATGATTAAAATTGTTACGATATAATAAATAAAAAAAAATATATTTTTTGATAAATACTTACTATCATCTGGAATGTTAAAATCATAAAGTTTACTGTGATATGCTTTCCGTATACACATTTAAATATATATTATTAAAATACTTTAAATTTAAATATGGAAGCGAGAAAATTTTAATAACGATACCTTCTTGTTCTTCTATGTTATTTATTTAATAAAACGATATTAATTTTTTTATCAAAAAATTTTGACTTTAACATGACTGAATATTAGAATCATACCTTCTAACACATTTTTATCTTCTATTTGTTCAGATAAATTTTCCAAACGATGAATTTTACTTGTAAAAATTTGGTTTTTTGTATAAGTAACTTCCTTACTATAACCGCTGTTAAAACTTTGAAATAAGGAACTACCATTTTTTTCTCTTTGAAACATCCTAATAAATTTTTTAAATATACTATTCGATTCATTCGAAGTATCTTGAAATGATAATTTTCTTAATTCATTAACTTTTTTATAAAGAGTAATAATGTCAGGTCTTTTTAATGAATCAGCATCCCAACATTGTTCCATTAATGTTTTATATTCAAAAGGAATATCTGATAAAATTTTCGGTCTCATTCC